ATGAGTTTGGTTTTGCAAATCTTTAAAGTTTCATAATAGTCTAATTCACCTTTACTATTTAATTGTTTAACTTTAATTTTAAGGTAAATTTATGTCGAGGATGAGAAAAACCATCCAAGTAACCAATTGAAACTTATGTAACATACGCCAAAGCCAAAGGACAATGGAAGTTTTAACTTATTTGATGACTATAGCTTTGTGAGATTTTTGAAATTCTATTCTATTCTATTCTGTTTGATATTTTTATTGTATTTATAAAGACGATTATATCACGTCGAAATTCCTGAACGCAAACACCGTGAGACGTGAAAAATTCAATTACGTGAGATCAGGTGCACGAGGAACTGTACGTAAATAGTGCCGTGCAACAGAATTCCTCGCCAAAATATACATCCTACGTACAGTAATAAAATATTTACTCACACCATAGAACACAGAATGCTACCGGGAATAGATTTTTTTAGACGAATTGGAGTAGTAACTTGTTAATAATAAGTTGGGGGTACTTTTAATTTCTTTGATTCCATATGTTTTCTTGGGGTACTAAATCCAAATCTGAGGGTGGGTAATACAATTACATGCATGATGCAAACCTTGAAAAAAATACAAAAATTGGCGAAAAATATATACAGGGTGAGTTTTTTCCGATGTATAGGGATCTCGGAAACCGTAAGAGATACAAATAACGACGTTATGGTTAAAAAACCGAAAAATGTCATTTTCTAAAATGCACTGGCGTTCGATTTATTTTCAAAGATATCAAAAAATAATGTTAACAAACCCCTAGTGATTTTTCATTCGATAGAGAAGCAAATTACAAAACCAGGGTACACTTAATACTTCATTTGGGAATAATGTTTTGCATGTTTTCCAGTTCGCAAATCACATTAGTTTATTATGAATTCATCCAGGAAGAGGTTATTAAGATTTAAAATTTCGTCCAGATTGAGGGCTTTTTAATTGTTTGTGAACAGTCAAGTCTGAGGCCTTTATTGCAAAAGTGTGGTTTCTCTAAGTTGACTATCGAAAATAATGGCCGGAATATTGGTGGCAAAGGACGATTGAGTGTAAAAGCTATACGTCCAGTTTGACCTACAGTACAATCTTTACAGGGCAGTTTATAAAGGTCTGAACAAGTAAGAGGGTTAACAGTATTTTTGGATTGAGGAAGTAATTGGAAACCGGGTCTATGTAAGGTAAGGAGACGTATTTGTACTCAGGGGTTAAACGCTTGAGTTGAGGGTAGTTGGGGAATTGAGATCAGGTTGGGCGGAAATACTTTAGAAAAGGTTGGTTATCAACCATTTGTTGGCTCTGACAATTTATATATAAGATAGTGTGAAACTCAGTGGAATATTTGGTCGGGTCAAAGGGAAGGTTTAGTCTGTGGAAAACTGATGGAAAGAATAAAAGGGGATAACATGATCACTGGTGGTTTTCTATAGACACTGGAACTGGGTACCACAAGTGAATTAGATCTACCGAGTGTTAAGTCCAGAATCTAGAACATTAAGGGATTTGTTGACAGATGATTATTCTGAGTGATTTTGTTGCCTCGAAAGATAACAAAATTCTCATCAACGTAACGTTTATGAAAAATGAAATAGAATTTTATAATATTATAATTGAATAAATGGGATTCTAACTGGTTAAGCAAAATGTCAGCTAATAATGAGAATGAGGGAAGGTTGTTGCACATAAAGAGGTCAGTAAATTATTTGGCCCAAAATCGGCTTTTTACATGTGGTGTACAAAGTTTGAACTGAATCGGCACAAGCGTTCGGCAGTTATCCTTATCGTGTTTACGTCCGGACAGATCAGATGGGCACCATGGACTCCCCATAAGCTTCCATCGCTTTGCTATGCCGTTTAATAATTTATCATTACATCAGTACACAAAAGTCAACCTTATACAATGAGATCCATCAGCGGTTAATGAAGGTAATTCTTCTAGGCGATGAAATCATATTTAATAAAATAGAATAATCAGGTGCAAGCGGAAAAATAATCGGAATCAGGACATGAAAACTAAAATGTAGCTACGCAATCACCATAAACTGCAGCGTATATTATCTTTAGCAACAATAAAATGATTCTTAAAAGGTGAACGCATACCTATTACTTGACAACAGGTCATCCCATTTTTTTGATCCTCAAGTTTTTACGAACTAGTAAAATACTTCATCCAGGCGCTATCACTTTCTCTTTTCCAGGATATTAGGTAAATTTCAAAGCTTGTCCGTTTTAGCGAGCGGAGGTGTCATTTAATTGTTTCATTAGATCGCACCGTTGATGTTTATTAGCATTTTTCGAACCTGTTCTTCCTACGACATACGACGACCCCTTTTAAAGGTGAATTAATAGTTATTGCCCAACAAGTAACGCAAAGTGGGATTGCGCTGTTTTTTTATGCGATGCGGAAATTACTACATCCATTTACAAGTGTCTGAATTTTCGTACAGGTGAAAGGTAGGGATTGACCGTTTTAAGTATCTGGCCCGAACCATAACTAATTTTGGAAGCACAAGTAACTACGAGTACGAGAATAGATCTTGTAAACAAATTACCCGAAATTGAGAGTTTACAAAAAAGTTTGTTCAAAGAAAATCTGCAACTGAACGTTTCTTCATCATCGGACAAAGGTCATCCACTGCAAATCTACACATACGAAACTGATGCGGGTCACGGGTAAAGCTGAAGGTTTCCAGAAAGAAAGTAGTCCAAGTTATTGCACCCGAAAGGTAGCATGCGATTCAATCAAATACAGTACGTAATTTCCACGGATAGTCTTTGGCAATTCTAATAGTAGGTAACGTTTGGTGACGTATTTCACAATGACGATGTATTTTGTTTTTAATCGCAAGTACTTGTTAGATCTGATAATGGCTTATCACCATCGGGACAGTATAGATACGTTTTACTTAAAACTTACTCTAGCAGATAAGTGATCAAAGGTTTTGTCCTAGTCCTTGTTGCATGGTAGCAATCGCTTCGCACCTCGTTTGTATCACTTGGTACTTTATTTTGTACAATACTTATCTTATTTGGGTTCGTCGTGAGGAAAGGAAGTTGGATAGTAACGAGCCAAGCATCAAGTTTGACTGAACTTATACGTTATATATACGAGTAGTATCTAGTGACATAAGTGCATCTTGTTTGTGCTCTCTTTCCTAGTCTAAGTGTTTGTGCATATTTGTACACCCCTATTGGGTTCTTTCTCGGACTTTCAGAGAAGTAGCCCATTCATAGAATTAAAAATTTATATTTTGCCTTTGCTTAAAACCGGCGCTCTATGGTCGCAGGAATTTCCACGCGACACGATCTATATTGAATCGCGAATTGAATCTGGAAATCTTTGACAACAATTTTTAGGCGACAAAAGGCCAAAATAGAACAGAACAAACGAGTTTTTTTGTCAATTTCGAAGGTTTTGACTTTTGCCCTCAACGATTTGTATACTACCATATACATTATACAATGATACTACTTATCAGTCCATACTGCATCCCAAGTGAAGTTAACTAGCTGCAGATTAGTATCTGGAGGCAATTACGACTAATGCCAACGTGAACGCTAGACACGCCGCGCCGTTTAGGCGCAAATTGGAATAATGCGTAACTAGACATTACGCTTTAAACTTCATCCGCCCTAAGAACACCAAAATTGAGTTTTTACACAGAGACCTGTGATTTGGATTTTGTTCAAATAATACCTGGTCAAGTTTACAGCTATGATGGAACAGAAATTATATCAGGTTAGCTTCAGAGAATTGGGGCATGTGTAAAGAGTAATAGGGAATTAAACATTTTAAAGGAGACCCCTGTTTCCAAACAGTAGAGGATATTCAGAAAAATACGGAGGAGCATAAATTAATGATGACGACGCAGTAGACATTTTTTTGCATTTTATATTTGAAATTCGTACTAAAATTGACTGCTCTTGGCAAAGTGACTGGTAGGTATTAAATACATAAAATGGGTTGCAATAAAACAGTAAGTTTTACCTAGAAATAATTTCCTAAAACGGGAGTTTACAGCTATGATGGATTTGCATGTGTGTTGTACTAGTACCCATTAACAACATATAAAAATGAACACTCGTCCATACTGTGGTACGGCGGTCATCTTGGAAAATGGCGGCCGATTTCCACTTTTTAAAACTTTACATTAACAATAACAAAACTTGAATTTTGTTTGATTTTTGGCAGTTGAGCACGGGAATGACACTTACTTACTGGTTTTTCGTTTCAGAAAATGTGATGGAAAATGAGGACAAAGACTGTGTTATATGATATAATTGCTACCTACTTGGTGTATGTTCATCATATGATGAAGCAACAACGTACCTTAATTGTGCTAGTGTAGATTCAGCACCAGTCATTAAGGAATCAGCATTTGTTCAATAATGTAATTGGCAATGCGGATTCTTTAACAACTAGACTTGGAATATTTTATTCTCTGGGAGGTATAAATTGTGCTTCCCTTTCAAATGCAGTCGCCATGCGATCAATCTTTCCTCATGATTCAACTAAGATTGACACTAAAGTCACAAAAATACAGTATACACTTGCTAAGGTTAAAGCTACTCGTTAATGGGTTGAAAAATATAACTTTTGTACCCGAGACTGTTTCAAAAAAAGCTTCTAATGACCTTAATAAAGGTAGATCGCTCAATTTGTTTTGGGCTACCATAACCATAATGGAAAGTCATCGGCGTTCTAGAATTGGATTTATGGCAATCTGAAATTGCTCAATCTTGGTAAAGATATTACAAAGACAATGCCTGTATGCCTCTTCCTTTTATAAACCAAAAACCCTCTGATAAGTCAACTTTATATTCAGCATTGAGTTTCGCAGCTGATCACAGTAGATATCAAGGCCGATCTTGTATAGTAGCCCTTGATCAACCACTATAGATACATGAAGTGCTCTGAAATAGTTTTGTCTGCTAACAAAAATGATAGTTTAAGCTCTGTCATTAAAAGACTTGGCAGATTCCATTTAATGTTCTCATTCTTTGGGTCAATTGGGTATATACGGAAAGGGATGGAAGTGAGGAAGTGTAGAAGGCAGTATAAACTCAATTCCCCACAGTCCACTTCTTTTCACGTGCAATTCTGACAGTTGTTATTTTAATTCGGCTTCTTGTTGACCCTGGCGCTACTGGTGTGACTCTTCGCTCGAAAGTGTTCTCCCATGAAGTGACTTCATATTCAGTCCGATCGGCTTTTGTTGCCGATCAAAGATGAAAGATCCCTTATACAAACTGTAAATAAATAAACTGCAAAAATTTAAACAAAATTCATGTTTTTTACTATTAATTTAAGTTTTTCTTCCTAACCGTTAGAGGTAAGGTATGAAACGAGAAAAAATAATAAATTGCACATCGAGTTATCAAGATATTCAACTAGATCCCAATGGCATTTTTGTAGGGTGACTTAGTACTTAGTGAGATACGACGGATGACCAATAGGGTAAGACTGTGAGATACACGGAAACTTGAAGCTATATGCCTTAAATGTTTTAAGCCTATGTCAAATAAAATAACATGTTATTTATGGAAAACCCTGTATATACATCTACATAGTTTGAAAGAAAATGAAATTCTGAATAAAAAATGTTAGTAAATTGCAATTAAAAGAACTATGACCAATATTAAGGTTTTAAGATTATTACAATTGATCAAGCTCGTGGTAGTCGAGAATAGAATAGACCGGGAGGCAGCGTACATAGTAACTAAACCATAAGCGACAAAAAATTCGACAATACAGGCTGAAAGTACGTTGAAAACTAATAATAAAATCACTCGTCTGCCAGTCGTAAGTGGCAGCATTAACTTGGGGCGGCGCTGAATAGGTGAGTTCTTTAGGTGATCAACTAAATTACCAAACTATAAGGGTCACGGAAAAGATTTGTATCAAGAAATCCCATTTTTTTCATAGCTTTCAAATATGCTATGGCAGACGATTTCAAGTGCAGCGTTGGTAGCGAAAGACGCCCTCCAATGTAGGGGAAAACACCCCTGCACTAAACCATGAGGACCGTATAAAAATTATACATAAAAAATTCCTCTTTTTGTCACTACTTCAAAATATATATCCTGGCAGACGATATTAAGTGTAGCTTTAATAGTGGCAGACGTCTTAGAAGTTAAAAAATTTAGGTATAGTAAATCCCAGCGAGTGCGAGCGTGTGAGAGATAAGCGCGCGAGAGCATAACCAACAGATAGCGATAGGATACTGACTACTGAGATCTTTCAAACCATTTGATTCTAAACTTCTGATTCACATAGTTCCATCCACTTCAATCAAACGGATTGTAGAATCTCACACGTTTTTCGGTGGCATTCGCCTAAATTGCGATGAACTAAACCATGAGGGCCATACACAAGTCATACCTACATCCGGTAAATGCGTGGGAATCCGGTAACGCGTTATCCTGCGCGTTACACACATCAACACCCAAATTCACGAACATCTCTCGAAGATTTATGAATTTCTGCGTGTTATTGGAAAAGAGACCTACTTCCATCTACCTTGATGGTAGCGTCAATTTTACATTTCCCAAAACAATAACAGCAATATCCATATCGGAAGCGCTAATAATGACTTTGCTACTTGTTGGTAGTTTACCAAGATGGTAAATTATTCGAGAATCTGCCTCTTAGTGGCTGCAGCACAAGTCAGTTTTTACCACATCATCTTCCCTTGTCACAAATTTATAGCACTTCATATGTGGCAAACACAACTTTCCTTCCAAGTAAAGCGCAACAGGTCTTTTTTGCCTATGAACGGTATAAGTAATCTATAAGAGAGACTTTGAGCTATCATTGCGAAGTGGTTTTATGAAATTTGCAGGCTGCTTCTGAGTGGAAACAGAAATTGAGTAGGATTGTAATCTTTCCTTATTTTGATCCCGACGATCATGTTCTGCGTCTTTCATGGAAGGGGTAACTATCTGTCAAAAGTAAGATGTACTTCTCTCGCTGACACAGCACAAATCTTGCCGAGGATGTGTTCAGAAAATCGCTCAAAGGTTTACCGGAGATCTTTTGAAAGATGCAAAAAAATAATCCATGAATTAAAACAACATCTACAACTGGCGATGGACTAGGAGCACTTGAAGAAATCATACTTCCGAAAAAGTTTCAGCAAAACAAACTTGTCGATTTTAATCATCAATCTATCAATGTTGCATAGAGACAAACGGAACTGGAGTCAGAGGATAGTTTAGAACGAGCTAAAGATCTATATTCTTTTCTCTTCAAGTTTTCTGTTTCTCAGTCTGAGAAGAATTCAAGAAATACCGACAATCTTATCGCGAAATAAACAATTTATTATTTTCCCTAATTGAATTCGTTTGGTAACTCCAAGCGGTGCGTAAATCTATAGCTATCTCTGTTCGTTGTGCTCTCGCGCGCTTATCTCTCACACGCTCGCACTCGCTGGGATTTACTATACCTAAATTTTTTAACTTCTAAGACGTCTGCCAGTATTAAAGCTACACTTAATATCGTCTGCCAGGATATATTTTAAAGCAGTGACAAAAAGAGGAGTTTTGTATGTATATAATTTTTATACGGTCCTCATGGTTTAGTTCAGGGGTGTTTTTCCCTACATTGGAGGGCGTCTTTCGCTACCAACACTCCACTTGAAATCGTCTGCCATAGCATATTTGAAAACTATGGAAAAAATGGGATTTATTGATACAAATCTTTTCCGCGACCCGTATAGTTTGGTAATTTAGTTGATCATCTAAAGAAGTCACCTATTCAGCGCCGCCCCAAGTTAATGCTGCCACTTACGAGTGGCAGACGAGTGATTTTATTATTAGTTTTCAAAGTACTTTCAGCCTGTATTGTCGAATTTTTTGTCGCTTATGGTTTAGTTACTATGTACGCTGCCTCCCGGTCAGAATGTTTTCTCTCGCTTTTGCCATTTGTTGATAAGCCTTCCTTCATTATGTTTTCCGAGAGCAAAAGGTTCATCTGATATTAAAACATAAGTGAAAGCTGCATTTGGCAGTGGACCTGTTTGCTATTATCACTATTAATATTATTAATGCAATAGCAGCTTTTTCCTTACGCAAATTCTTAATTTTTGAACGAAATACGTGCTTATGCAATTGTCACACCATACGCTTTGCCATTGTTCGCTGCTTTAGCTAATTATAGCAAATGAAAATTTCAACCGCATTCCATAAAGGGTGTATCCATCAAATTTCATCAAATTCTGACTATTTTTGTGGTCCGCACAAAGTTGGATTTTCCAAAACGAAATTTAGAATCACCTGTTGGGTAGTGAGGGGTGGAAATAATACAGCAATACAGGGTGGGTGGTCAAATTTGGCCGATTAGATTTAGATTTAATTTACCGATCATTATTCCATGTACATGTACTTACCTAGAAACCGGGTTTTCACAAGCTGGTTCCTTATGGCATGTAGGCGTGCAGAAACCATCTTGTTTGGCACATCTTACGTTCGTTGCAGTTTTTCGTGGGTGATATTTGTTCGGCCATATAGACGGCAACAAGAATTCCAGTGTTTCCAACAGCTGCTGTTTGTTCTTACTGATGACGCTTCGCTTTCTTGAGATAGATGTCCACCATCAATGAATCCTGATCTATACTTTCACTGGCTTCCAATACAATAAAACTATCGTTTCATTATCGTTTTGATTTTGAATCCAACCCTGTCCCTAGAGAAACCACGATTGTTGCACCATACCAGTTGACCGTGGCGCCTGCGAAATACCACCGATAAAATTCTCGGCGATTCCAGTTAAAAGAAGAAGGAAATGAGACTTTCTGATGCGCACATGAAGAAAGCCTAAAGTGTTCACAGATTTTTGCGGTCGCCCTATCCGGACCGCAAGATAGTAAAAGGCTAAATTTGGTTAAATGAAGTAGACAGATCGTAATCGTTGCAATTACTTAAAAGTTACGTATTAAACACGCAATTTGTGGTACACCATGAAGGCTTCTGAAAAGCAACAGGTTACGTCATTTTATCGTGACTGATTAATCATAGTACTCACTCGTGGTTAGTTCTCTAAGAAAAAAATGACATGCCATAGAGAGTATTGTATCCCGGAACTCACGGCATCCCATTATTATTTCCAGTAAACATAAAGTCGATAAAACAACAAGAGGTCATTTACTGAAGGAAACGAATGTGTTTACATCGGTTTTTAGTCACGTTGAAAAATGCGCCCGTTGTCGAATTACCAAAACGATTTATCAACGTAAGAAATTTTGTTTAACAATTTTCACTCGCAATTAAGATAAATTATAAAAGTGGCCACAGATTTGATTCTGTGAAGATTTTTGCTCCGGCTTGGATGTCAAGTTAACGGATAGTTTAGCCTCAAGCATTCGGATTACTTCCTGTTGGCTTACGAGGGCCGCATCCTCCAATAACGTGGCCCCCATTTCAATAAATACCCATTAACTATCTTTTTGTGACTAAGTTATAACGGAACTCATACCGGAAAGTCCACAAGAATTGCTCGTTTCAACACTTATTATTCAGCTGAGTTAATATCTATTTTTAATTGCTTGTCATGTGAGATGTTCTGTCATCTCTACCCGTTAGGTTAAATAAATAACGACATTGTACTGATATGGCAGTGATCGTAGATTGTGCAAATTTATTTGACCTTTCCGTATGAATTTGTTTCGAGTTTAGCCTAGATGTTCCGGTCATTTCCCAATGCCCACGATGGACGTGACAAATTCGTCCTGGCACTACCAAATTATAATTATTACTAACCACAGGGAAACGTCAAAATGCAACTGTTAAAATTAAATAAAATTGATAAATAACCTTGCCGTGATCAATTAAATCAATGTACTTCCTCTCCTTTGATTTCAAAGCATCCATTCGTAAACGCACGGCGGTACTTTAATAAACTGCTGTATATTATATTTTAAAGAAAAACAACTTGTTTCCGGAAGTCCCTGCAAGGTCACGTTCATTTCTCAACTCACACTGGAATTTAAGACAATCCTAGATTGTATCTTCCCAGAACTTCATGCACGTGCTTGTCTTTAATTCTAAAAATGTAGTTTTTCGAAAGGAAGTCATTTAAATTTTATCTGCATGACTTTCATTGAATAGGGAACAAATAATTTTAAATTACAAAATTAGGATTACCGTCGAATTTGTGAGCCAGTTTTGTCAAACTTAAGGGCATCAATTGCGGATTTGGTAATAAGGTAACTACTGATCCACACACATGGTTTCCCAGATTCTTTGGCCATGAGCTGCAGATTAACAGGGTTTACTTGCAACATGCCATTAACCAACGGCAAAAATCAGTGTAGTATGATCTTTGCCAAAGGGCTCAAAACACCGGCATGTTCCTCATTTTTCGCAGAAATGGCAAAATACATAAACTTTGTAAACTGTTTGGGGCAATAACAATGGGTACTTTTTACGGAAGCGCAGAGGGGCCACATCAGTTTGTTTTTATTTTTTTGGCGAATTTCGTGTTGCAAGTCAAAATTTCGTGTTGCAAACCGAAATTTTGTGCTGAAAGTTGAAATTTCGTGTTTTCGTGTTGCAAGTAGAAATTTCGTATTGTAACGTTATTTATAAAATTCGGGTTCGATTTATATCAATATTTATTAAACAAAAACTAAAACACTATAAAATCCGTACAATTTATATCGATCATTTATATCACACACTTCGAAATTTATATCAGCTTTTCGCGCTCTATGTTTCGTTCGCACTCGATCTCGTTCGATAGTAGACTGCCCCGATGTTCGGTCCGCAACCATTTATACACGCAAGCAATGTAGGTCCAGTACATTCTCGAATGTTCCTACAAATTCCACTATCGCGCGCGTAGAAAATTCCAGAGAATTCTGGAGCATTTCCGTTACACTGCCCCCTTCTTAATTCTGGACGTCTCGTTCAGAAACTGCGTTAGTATTACTTTTTAATGCCTCGTGTCGGAATCTGCAGTCAGAGCCTGCCCGACAAACACCTTTCTTGAAAAAGTAACAGTCCACAGTTTTGCGGAGGGTCGTCCCCTGTGGGTTGAAGCAGCATACTGTAATTCGAACGCTAGTGTTTCTAAAAATCACTTCGATCATGGTTCGCACTATTTCCCAGTCCAACCCATCTAAACCACATCCAATCTTCGGGATCGCCAAGCTATTTATGTCATAGTATGCCATGAGTTTCTTTAAGCTTTTTAAAGCAGACCAGAGGTTTTCATAGGTGGGTTTGCCTTCTGACGTTTTCTTTGAAACCAAATAGAACAAAGAGCGTTGACTATCTTCCAAGCGCAGTACTTTACCCACTCGTGGTCTTTCCTTTATCAACTCGTCTATTCTTCCAAATCTTTTCCGGAATACGGAAGCTATACCTCTACCCATGCGAAGGTCTTCGGCGACACAATGGGCGATGGAAACGTTAACCGGAAGCTCAAAAATATGTTGACAAATTTCCTGAGTAACGCCAAATCGAGCTTTCTTCCGCTGGGCGTAATTTGACATAAAATCGTTAAAGTTTGGCTCGATCCCAAAGCTGCGTTCCTCTTCTCGAATACCTCTAACTTCTTCGTTGTTGTTGGATCCGGCATATCGTGCGAGTCGATTAATGTGGACAACTTTCAGTTTTCGGTGGTTCATTCTGATACGATATATCACGTCATTTATTTTCTTGATCACCTCATACGGACCTTCCCATTGTCTTTGTAGCTTGGGAGAAAGACCCCTTCGTCTCTGTGGATTGTGCAGCCATACCAGATCTCCAGCTTCAAAAGTTTCATTGACCGAGCGGAGGTTGTATTGATTTTTCATGCGATCGCTGGCAATCTGAATATGACTTCTAGCCAAGTCGTGAATATCGTTCATCTTCGCCTTTAGTTGGTCAACATAATTTTCACCCTGCGACATATTCTTCATGGGGTTTACGCCCAAACTCGAGATCACATGGAAGGCGTAGTTCACGACCCAACATAAGGCTGGCAGGAGTCTGACCCGTGGTCTCGTTGATGGCTGATCGATATGCCATAAGGAACAGGTGGAGGTACTGGTCCCAATTTTTCTGATGTTCTGCCACGACTTTTGAAAGATATTTACCCATCGTTCGATTCATTCTCTCCACCATTCCATCTGACTGAGGATGCAAAGGTGTTGTTCTGGTTTTATTGGCTCCTACCAATCGACAAACATCTTGGAACAAAGCCGATTCAAAGTTCCTTCCTTGGTCTGAATGGATTTCTATAGGAACACCAAAACGTGTAAAGAACTCCTTTACCAACACTTCTGCAACTGTTGCTGCCTCTTGGTTTGGAATGGCGTAAGCTTCAGTCCACTTTGTGAAATAATCCATAGCGACTAGGATGTATTTATTTCCGCCATCTGTCTCGGGAAACGGTCCTGCGATATCGATAGCAACTCGTTCCATCGGACTACCAACGTTATACTGCCTCATGGGTGCCTTCTTCTTGGAAACTGGTCCGTTTCCAGTAGCACATAACTCACATTTTTGACACCATCGCCGGACATCTTCTTTACGGTTGACCCAATAGAATCGCTCACGTACCCTTTGCAACGTTTTCGTAATACCAAAGTGTCCTCCGGAAGCGCCGTCATGCAATTTTCGCAATACTTCCGACACTTTGCTTCTAGGTACTACTAATTGCAGCGTCGATTCGGTGCCATCTTCACTTTCAAGGGTCCTATACAACAGGTTGTCTTTCAGAGTCAGGCTATTCCATTGGCCCCAATAACTCTTTACTTCAGGACTTGTGGCACTAATGTCTTGCCAGTCTGGTCTTTGTCCGTGGCGCATCCAGTTCAGAACAGTTTTTAAACTTGGGTCGTTTTCTTGGGCCGTTTTGATTTCGCTTGGTTTCCATTCCTCACTCTCTACAGTTGTTCGCCGCAGATGGCCCATCTTGTCTTCTATTTTAGAACAATGTGTGCAGTTGTCCTTGCACGGTCTTCTTGACAAAGCGTCTGCATTATTGTGAACTTTTCCAGCCCCGTGTTCAATGTCGTAGTCATATTCCTGAAGACGTTCTAACCATCTTGCCACCTGTCCTTCTGGGCTTCGGAACTGCAAGAGCCACTTTAGCGCTGCATGATCTGTCCTTATCAGGAACTTGCGGCCGTAAAGGTACTTATGGAAATGTTCGCATGCCTTTACCACACCCAGGAGCTCTTGCCTAGTCACACAATAATTCCTCTCGGGTTTCGACAGTACTTTGCTGAAATAGGCAATGACTCTTTCCTGTCCGTCTTGCAATTGAGAGAGAACAGCTCCAATGGCGGTGTTACTGGCATCGGTATCTAGCACAAACTTCCTTCATTTCTGGGGTAGCCAAGGATAGGTGCGCTAGTAAGAGCTTGCCGGAGATGTTCGAAAGCTCTTTGACAGTCTTCACTCCATTCGTACTCATTGCCCTCTTCTGTCAACTTTATTAATGGTTTGGCAATGTTGGCAAATCCTTTCACGAATCGTCTATAATAGGTGCACAAACCGAGAAAACTTCGAATCTCGTGCTTGTTCTCAGGAATCGGCCACTCTTGAATCGCTATAATCTTCTCTGGGTCAGCTGTAACACCATCACGAGATACGATGTGTCCCAAATATTTAACTTCTTTTTGGAACATAAAGCATTTCTTGGGACTTAGTTTTAAATTGGCCTCTCGTAATCGTCCAAACACCTCTCTCAGGTTTTTTAGGTGTTCTTCAAAAGTTTTTCCTACGACAATTACGTCATCCAAATATACCAGACATGTCTGCCACGTTAGTCCCCTTAGAACTGCTTCCATAAGTCTCTCAAACGTCGCGGGGGCATTACACAATCCGAAAGGCATTACTGTGAATTGCCAAAGTCCAGAGCCTATAGAAAACGCGGTCTTCTCTCGGTCTGTCGATTCCATTCCCACTTGCCAATAACCACTCTTTAGGTCGAGTGTGGAAAACCATTGGGCTCCAGATAGAGTGTCCAAGGTGTCGTCTATTCTTGGCAGTGGATAGCTATCTTTCTTGGTGACCGAATTTAATAGACGGTAGTCAACGCAAAATCTTGTGGAGCGATCCTTCTTCTTTACAAGCACTATCGGTGATGACCAAGGACTATTCGATGGCTCGATGACACCTTGTTTTCTCATGTCTCTAATAATCTCCTCAGCTTCGTCTCGTTTAGCCAATGGGAGTCGCCTTGGTTGTTGTCTAATCGGTTGGGAATTGCCAGTATTTATTTTATGGGTGACTATGCTTGTCTTGCCCTTGTCCTGGTCGTTTACCGCGAACACATCTCGGAATTCCATAAGCATATTTTTCACCTTTTGTCGTTGTCTATTGTCCAAATC